TCTGAATGACTATGTACATTATTTTACAAAGGCTCTAGGTCTCTTCTTGTGTTAGATTCTGTGAGAATTAAAAAAAAAACAAAAAATAGTGCCATGTTTTTGATCTTTGCAGGTTGTCAGTGAAGCTATTGACATTAAGTGCATCCTGTACAGGACGAATCTCATAATCTTATCAGATTGAGGTCTAATTGTCTATCTTAATGGGATATTGCAGAAGTAGAAAAACAAAGGAATTAAAATTGTTAGTGGAAAGAGAAAATATACAGAGGAAATAGATTTAAACCTATGATGACTCGATCAAACGCATGCAAGCAAAGCCTTTTGGTTATGGGAAAACTTCTTTCTTCTTAATTTCCTGTGGGAAGGGGAAAACTAATTTTGTGCATAACAGCACTTTTTCTTTTGACTACAAATGTTTTTTGTTGTTTTTGGGGAAAATTCTTGAGCGGTTGCAGTGGCAAGGCTAACTCAAGAATCTTTTTGTTTTCTGAGACAAAGTGGGCTTGTTTGGAGTCCTGGGAACCTGAAAATAAAATGAGAGATTCGTGTGCTGTGATCCTGTTTTTGTTTGTTTGTTTTAACTTTGAATTTGCTTTAAATATGTTCTTAAAATAGGAGGGCCAGTGATTTACAGGGGAAGACAGATGAAGTTTTTATCAGTGAGTGCAGGAAGAAGTAGGATGTAAATAAACATCAGAGTGACATACCAATCTGCTGATTCCTCTTCCTCTAATTTCTGTATTTAAGCTAATTTTTAGGAAATACCTGGATATGTCCACTTTTTATTTCAGCATTTGTAATCTGAAGTATGTCAGAAAAAAATAACTAGGTTAATGACATTGAGGTCTTCGTATTACAGCTTTTTAAGACTAACGAAAGGGTTATAATTGGTAAACAGCATGATTTATGATAGTAATGGTGTTTGCCTTTGCTGTTAACTTAGAGCAAATGTGATGTTGTCTTTGTCAGTGCTCATTGCAGCTGCAGTAGTTTCTATATTGTTTTCACTGTAGTACATTTCAGTTTTTGAACTCAAATCTAAGGGAAGCGTGCCTTAAAATACCGTACCTTTTTCAGCAGATGTGCACATATTTGTGTTAAAAGGACCCTTGCTAGGAAACATTAAGACCTACTTTATATACCTGAAAAAATAAAGCATTTTGGTTCTAGACTTTTCTATCACATCAGCAATGAAAAGGGAAGTAGTACTTCTGTGCTTTCAGGATTTAACTGCTTTTCTTCTGAAGATCTTGGGAGGTAGCAAGAACAAAATGGCACTTCAAAACAGTTGCTTTGTTTGGCCCAAGAATTTATTTCCAGGAGAGAGAATCCACCCAGGCAATAGCTGTGGGTAATGTGTCTGGAGCGAGGAGAGGCCAGTGTTATCCTGGGGAGTCGTCCAAGGGACACAACTGGAGCCAAAAGTGCTGGGAATGTAAGGGCTATTTGGTGAAAGCAAAGAAATTCCTTATTCTGTGCAGTTACGCAGCCTCACGCATCATACTCCAATAGGCTCAAATTAAGGTCTGTGCTTATTAAACCTGCACTAAAGTATGCAATCTTTAAAAGGAGAATCTGTCCCCTGAATTCTGTACTGGGTACTGCAAATTACTTCTCTTCCAGGGCCACCACTCCCTGCTCTGGATATTGGTACACTGAGACCTAGACGCTATGTTCTACTGAGCTGCAGCTTCCTTGCGGCGCCTTTTGAACCGTGAGGGCTAAAAAAGTGCCTGTTTTTACCTTGAAAAATCTGCTGTTTTGGCTTTTCAGCTGCATAGCATTTTATGTTCTTCAGGTGTCTGTCTAAAAGCTACGTGCATCATTTTACCAAATAAAAACCCCATTGATGTTGATGGGAAAAGTTGGATATTAGTGATTCTGGTGTTCTAAAATGTAAATACATTTTTTCTCTTATTATCAAATCATCATTAGTGTTTACCATGAAACCGCAACCTCAATCTGGCACTTTTAAAGGAAGACAAAAATTAGTGGTGAAAATACCTTAAATTTAATCTAAATAGTCTTCCAGGAAGTTGAATTTAAAAGCAGGTTTTAAGTGTTGTTGATAGTTAAATTTGACCTTGGAAGAAAAAGGAAGAAAGGAAGAAGGAAATCACTGTATTAGACGTATAGTTCTGACTACTTTTAGTAATTCTTTATATTTTGAGTTTTCCTAGGCATTCTCTAGGTAAGTTACAGCCTAACTACCAAAATAAAAGTTAACTTTCATAGTTAATAAGTAAGCAAAGTCAATGCTTATTAAACTGAATAATGGAGTTAATGGAGAACGCATAAATACATTTATAGCTTGTCAGTCAGAGTGTGTCTTGCACTCTATGTAGGCTTTAGGTCTTCATTTTGATTTTTGATTTTTTTTTTCCATCTCAAAGCATGTAACTATTTTATGTGTGTGGGGAGGGAAGCTGGTCTGCAGTTCCTGGAAGTGGTTTTGCTGACTTGAAGCAGGTCTGCCTCACTCCTGTGACACGCACCGTTTTTGACGGTAATCCCACGCTGGGACTTCTTTGTTTCATAACTGCTAATCCCCACCAGAACAGCGGCTCTCCTGTGAGTAGCAGTGGCTGGAGGGACAGGGCACGTTCGTGGCGTTGGCCATGGTGCGCCGAGGTGCAAAGCTCCTGTTGCATCGCGCTGGCTAAGAGGATTACACCGGCTCTATCGGGTTTCCTACCCTCTTTTGAAATCCTTTTTGTGTGTGCAGGGCAGAAGTCTGGTGGAGATGTGTGCTTTCTTTGTTTTCTCTTCTTTTTAAAGCAGTTTATTGTCCTAAGGCTGTCAGTAGGGCTGCCGCGTGCTCTCCCGTATCGTTCCCGCTGCGTTAGCCGCGTAGCGCAGCCCAGCTAGCAGGGCTTGGCTTTCAGCCCTTCACCCCCAGGTCCTCATGGCAAGACCAAGAGCGCGTGGCTATTCCATGAAGGGCGTCTTTGCAGGCAGTACCCCCACCGTCACGAGATGGCTTCCTGCGTGGCACCACAAGGCTCCATGCGAAGGAGACGACCCGGGCAGGGAAACGGGCGGCAGCAGCTGTCCCTGCTCTTTGCAGCAGACCTCTGGACCCTCTTCTCGCTCGCTGTTGCTCATGAGCCCAGGGGATGAGGGGACGGCGCCTCTGCGAGGGGCATTGCTGCTGACTGCCGAGCCACATGAGACCGTGGTGGCGTAGAAGTGGCTTCCAGGAAAGCCGCTGCCCGCAGCAGCCCTGCTTCCTGTTGCCATGCAGCAGCGGCTCCCTGGCAGGTAGTGACGGCGCCAGGGAATCACGGGGGTCATTTCCCCCATCTGTTTACGTGAGTGTCGCTGACGAACACTCCTCCTCTGCACGCCCTGGGTGCTCAAACGTCAGCAGCAGAGCCCTGAGCCTGGCAGCAGTGCCGTGACTCAGCTGGGCGAGCAGAAGGCCGCGGCGACCTCGCCATGCGCAGGGCCATAGGACGTCTCTCGGCGGGGATGCGGAGGGAGATCCGCCAGTGGCACGCGCCCATCCCCTGGGGAGCTGGTTCGCGGCTCAGTGCTGTGGCAGCAAGATGGGCGCTGCCCCGCAGGCGTCGCGTCGCATGAGGCGTGTGGAGCAGCGGGGCAGGGAGCGCTGCGTGCGGACACCTCTGCTAACGGTCCGGCTGGGGAGATGGGACTGACGGTGCCGCGCGTTCGCTGGAGGCCGTTCGGGCTCTGTGTGTCGTGGTGCCGCTGCCTGTGAGCGGGGCGGCCCGCGACGCGCAGTGTGGGGCTGCTCGGCTCGGGGCCCCGCGTGCTCCCCAGCGCCTTCTTGCCCCGTCCTCTGGCCACGTGCGCACGCAGGCTTCGCTTCGGAAGCACCAGATCTGGGTCATGAGTTCAGCAGTTAAAATGATGATTTTACCACATCCTGCTTACACAGGAAGCTTATGTGTTTTGTTTTTGTTTTTTCTTTCTTTCTCCAAAATAGCTGATAAGTTGAATTCTCCAGACTTTGTCAGAGCAAGCTATTTAAAGCCAAAGAGAGGCTTGGATTTCCAAACTCGTTTGACAGTTTGGTGTCACAGAGTTTGAAACTCAAGTTAGAGCCTTGTAACTTGCTCCTGTGCTCATCAGCTTCCTGCAATCACCAGGCTGTGAGAACGGCCTGAAAAATATTCCCCGCTGTGCTATGGAGATAGACCTTTGTTTTTACTTGGATAGTTGGGTTGTGTTTCTCTGAGATAAGATTATTTTCCATGAATTAGAAAAGAATTTCTTTGGTATCATTTGGTCCAGTAAATAGGTTATATTTGTATCTCACTGTAAAACATGTGAATACATAAATGGAAAAAAAAAATCTTGTGCAGAAATTTTGTGTAGTGGCTACAAGGCATCCACTTGTGCAGTGGCACTTAAGGGAAGGGAGCCAGTGAGCCCGGTGGTCCACACGGACGCAGCATAGCAAGGAGTAGAGGTGTTGTTAAATAAAAAGAAATGAGAGGTTTTTCTTGTAATGTAGCAGGCAACCTAAGATGTGCCGTGCAGATCATGAGCAATATGCAGAGCATTTAACAAATGTTCATTTTGTTTAAATGCAAAATACCTTTTAAAAATGGTATTAATGCTGGGTTACACATGTCAAAAGACTCGGGCAGTTATTTTTTAGAGACTCTGACTTTTTACGTTGCAGTCAGTTGTTGCTGTTTGGGTTCTTAAGACACATCAGGTGCAGCATTTTATCTTTAAGATATTTCAGTTGAGCAGAGTAGGCCTTGGTACTATGAAGTGGTAAAGGTTTTTGAATATCATCTGACCTGAAATGAACAGCTTTTGGTTTTGAGAATGAAATGCGTCATTTCAGTATATAACCATTGAAACAACCCTCCTGAGTGGAATGATGGGCAGTGTGAGGCATGCCACAAAATATAACGAACATGGCAATCCTTTGGTGGTCTCCATGTCATGGTGCGAGTGTTGTTAAATAGTAAATAACCTGCTCACCAGGCAACAATGCTGATTTTGTTTTTCTTTTCTTGTAGGAATGTTTACCCTTGCAGAAGTTGCATCGCTTAATGACATTCAGCCAACCTATCGTATCCTGAAACCATGGTGGGATGTATTTATGGATTATCTAGCTGTTGTTATGTTAATGGTTGCCATTTTTGCTGGAACCATGCAGCTGACCAAAGATCAGGTGGTCTGCTTGCCAGTTTTGCAGTCTACTGTAAATTCAAAAGCACAAGCCGGCACATCAGGGAAGGCTGACGTTACCACTGTTGAGACAACCACTGGTCAAGCAGAAGCTGCATCAATGAGAACGGTTTCCTCTGGAAGTGCCCCTACTGTCACACCTGATGTACCTCTGAGCAGAGCTACCTCTTCTCAGTACCAACCCACTGAATCGGGTCAGGCACTGAAGAAGGAGCAGAAAGATTCTTCAGGCCGTAAAACCAATTTGGATTTCCAGCAATATGTATTTATTAACCAAATGTGCTATCATTTGGCTCTTCCTTGGTATTCAAAATATTTTCCCTATCTTGCCCTCATCCACACTATTATTTTAATAGTCAGTAGCAATTTTTGGTTCAAGTATCCCAAGACCTGCTCCAAAATAGAGCATTTTGTGTCCATACTGGGTAAGTGCTTCGAGTCCCCGTGGACTACCAAGGCGTTGTCTGAAACAGCGTGTGAGGACTCTGAGGAGAACAAGCAGAGGTTAACTGGTGCCCAGTCCCTGCCCAAGCACGTTTCCACTAGCAGTGATGAAGGCAGCCCAAGTGCCAGCACTCCCATGATAACAAAAACTGGCTTCAAGTTTTCGGCTGAAAAGCCGGTGATCGAGGTTCCCAGTGTGACTATTTTGGACAAGAAAGATGGAGAGCAAGCCAAAGCGCTCTTTGAGAAGGTCCGCAAGTTCCGTGCCCACGTGGAGGACAGCGACTTGATTTACAAGCTCTATGTTGTCCAGACTGTCATCAAGACCGTCAAGTTCATCTTTATTCTCTGCTATACTGCAAACTTTGTCAATGCCATCAGTTTTGAGCACATCTGCAACCCAAAAGTGGAACACCTGATTGGCTACACACAGTTTGAGTGTACGCACAATATGGCTTACATGCTAAAGAAGCTGCTTATCAGCTACATTTCTCTCATTTGTGTCTATGGTTTTATCTGTCTCTACACCCTCTTCTGGCTCTTTCGAATACCTTTAAAAGAATATTCATTTGAAAAGGTCAGGGAAGAGAGTAGCTTCAGTGACATTCCCGATGTCAAAAACGATTTTGCATTTCTTCTGCACATGGTAGATCAGTATGACCAGCTGTATTCTAAGCGGTTCGGTGTCTTTTTGTCGGAGGTAAGTGAGAACAAGCTACGGGAAATCAGCTTAAACCATGAGTGGACTTTTGAGAAGCTGCGGCAGCATGTTTCCCGTAACGCCCAGGACAAGCAAGAGCTGCACCTCTTCATGCTCTCAGGGGTCCCTGATGCAGTGTTTGATCTCACTGATCTGGATGTCTTGAAACTGGAGCTGATTCCTGAAGCAAAAATCCCAGCAAAAATCTCCCAGATGACAAATCTTCAGGAGCTTCATCTGTGCCACTGCCCTGCAAAGGTGGAGCAGACTGCCTTCAGCTTCCTCCGGGACCACTTGAGATGCCTTCATGTGAAATTCACAGATGTTGGAGAAATTCCTGCGTGGGTGTATTTGCTCAAAAACCTCCGTGAATTGTACTTGATAGGCAACTTGAACTCTGAGAACAATAAAATGATAGGGCTTGAATCTCTTAGAGAGCTGAGGCATCTTAAAATTCTCAATGTGAAGAGCAACTTGACCAAAATTCCCTCCAATATCACGGATGTGGCACCACATCTAACAAAGCTAGTTATTCATAATGATGGCACTAAGCTTGTGGTACTGAATAGCCTTAAGAAGATGATGAATGTTGCTGAGCTGGAACTACAGAACTGTGAACTGGAGCGAATTCCCCATGCCATCTTCAGTCTCTCCAACTTACAGGAACTGGATTTAAAGTCAAATAGCATACGCACAATTGAAGAAATCATCAGTTTCCAGCACTTGAAGAGGTTGACTTGTTTAAAGCTGTGGCACAATAAAATAGTCAACATTCCTTCCTCCATTACCCACGTAAAGAACTTGGAGTCACTTTATCTCTCCAACAATAAACTCGAATCCTTACCAGCCGCAGTGTTCAGTTTACAGAAACTTAGATGCTTAGATGTAAGCTACAACTCCATTGCAGTGATTCCAATAGAGATAGGTTTGCTTCAAAATCTGCAGCATTTTCACATCACAGGAAACAAAGTCGATATTTTGCCAAAACAGTTGTTTAAGTGTGTTAAATTGAGGACTTTGAGTCTGGGACAAAACTGCATTACCTCAATCCCAGAGAAGGTCGGTCAGCTGCTGCAGCTAACTCACCTGGAACTGAAGGGAAACTGCTTGGACCGTCTGCCAGCCACGCTGGGGCAGTGTCGGCTTCTCAGGAAAAGCGGGCTGGTGGTGGAGGATCACCTCTTTGACACGCTGCCCTCGGAAGTTAAAGAGGTGCTGAATCAAGACACGAGCATTCCCTTTGCTAACGGGATTTGAGCGGAAGTGAAATGCTCGAGTTACTGACTTGGGAACAGCAAATGCTAAAAAGTAGGGGTATTGTAAGATCATGCGTTTTAGAAACAGGAATTCCTTGGAAGGCAGGACTTATTAGCAGGATTATAAAAGATGTAACTGAGTGTTCAGTGTTTGCAGTGTTTTAAAAGATTATTTCATGATTTTTTTGAAAGGATAAAGAACCTTAATAATCTCAATTCTTTTTTTCCCTGAATTGTTTGTAACTTGGATGCTGCCGCTTTTGAATGTTTACAAATTTGCTTGCCCGCTTAAAGTAAATGATTAAATTGATGACCTTTTCTTACTATGCAAGTTGTTCTTTAAGGTCTGGATTTACTTTAGTGCATTATGGGGGAGAACCAAGGATAAATGTTGTATACGGTGTGTTCTAACAGCCTTTGAAACACATGTTGATGTGCGTTGTTAGTGTTTAGCCATTCTCAGCAAATGCAACCAGTTTGGCTGTGCTTTGAACTGCAGTAAACCCCTCTTTCCTGCACAAAGGTATGTAGTTTGCATAAGGCATAAGTGCATAAGTGTGTTTGCTCTCATCCCTCGTCCCCAAAGCCTCCTGGTTTTGGATGAGATTCGCTCTGCGATCCAGTGTGCTGCTCCTCCGGCCACGTGAAGACTCATCCCTTTTCCACAGCTCTCTCCCCCGGCTTCCACAATGCTCCTCTGTCTCAAGCAGCGATGGGTGGTAGAAGGGAGAGTGCTGCCATGGGCTTTCAGATGGTGACAGTCTTGGCATTTGAACTGTTTTGCAAGGTGATTTTGAAAGGCCATCAGGCAAACACGAAGTGCGCTACTGCTGATGGTTTGCTTCTCTTCAGAGTTTCCATCTGGGAGACTTGAGCTGTTTTATGAGAGTCAGTGTGTGTTTTGTTTTGCAGCTTTTGCTTAGGAACGGGGATATCTGCTCTATTTCCTAGACTAGTGGCAGAGACATAAAAGTTATGATTTACCCAAAAGTGATTTGGCTTTATCACCTATTGCAGTGTGTCATCCACACCTGGACTCTTAATAGTAAGATCCTCCTCTTCCCCCAAGCTCCAATAATACAATGTCTTTGATCATTTATGCGCTGTTACAAAACCCTAAATGTGTGCCAGATAAATCATCAAATAAAGAAAAAAGCAGACAGCAGTGAGCATGGGATTTTTTTTTTAAACTGAGCTTGTACAGCCAGGACTATTAGAGAAGTATAATCCATTAAATCTGCAAAATCATCAGTTGTAAATCTTGGCCATTTACATTTCATGCGTGTGGAAAAGAAGTGCGATGTGGAGAGATGATTACGTGATTACTCATGGTTTAAAGACAATTCCCTATTGTGGTGTGGTCAGGACCGAACTCGTCTGTCGTTGGCGGGCCTGTGCGATCCTCGTGCGCAGGGGTTGCTACTGCAGCCCCCGGCGCTGCCCTGGCCCGCGCACCGGTAACGGGGCAGGTTAGGCCGACGGGCACCGAGCGCTCGGGCGCGTTTCAAATGCTGCTCTTATGAATGTTGCACATTTTGTTGTTAATCATTTACTGTTAATCGTGCTGGGAGGAGTATTCTCAGCTGTAGGTAGCAACCTGCAAACACGTACCTGCTCCATATGTCTGTGTGTATCAGAAGAGCAGTTTACAACTAGTGGTTTTCCCGTTTGTTTGGGGACGCAGCTCTGTATTTGCTGCACTTGCCAGCAGGTAGTAACAGCGACGTGATTGCCCTTTGGCAACACCAAAGAAGCTCGGTAGAGTAGTTGCAGCTCCTGACCTGTTATCTCCTGGGAAACTTTGTCAAAATCTTTTTTTTTTTTTTTTTCTTTTCTTTTAATAAGTAAAGACTTAAGACTGTATTTTTTTTTAGAGAAACTCTTTCATGTGTTTAAACTTTTGCACATAGTTCACTTTAAAATGCCTAGACTATTGACTCTTAGAAAAACTGTAGAACACACTCTTCGTGTGTTCTCTGTATTTGCTGTTGAACGTCATTTCAGCTTCCAAGAAACTGTGTGTAGGCGGGAGGAAGACTTGGAGAAAGACAAAGTAATTAAAGTATTTAGAAAAACAGTGTTCTTTACTTTTTTTTTTTCCCCTTCTTTTAATAGTGAGTTGCACAGAATTGCAGGCATAGATTGATCCTGTTTTTAAAAGCTTTTTCCTTGCGTTTCTGATGCTCCTACTATTCCAATTTACAGTTCAAAAGCAAATCATGTTCAGTTAGTATGATTATGAAATGCAACTTTTGGACCACTGCTTTGACTAGTTCTTAGCCAGCTATACTGCGTTAGTCACCTTCCTCTGAGACAAGGGCATTTGAAAGTTATCTCAGGCTTGTGATGTTTACTCGGCATAAACTCCATTCCTGATTTTAGGAGAAGTTTTTGAGAGTGGTGGTGGGAACTGCTCATCCTCCCCATGCCGCCTCCCTTCGCAGCCCTTCCTCCTCCTCGTGGCTGTCGTAGTGCTCCTGTTCCCTGTGTGGCATCTGACAAAGTCCAGCTTTGAAGTCTTGGAAAATTCACCTCTGCCATGGAAGGCATGTGAAACATATTTTTGCATATATAGTGGATTTAATAAATTAGATGTCTATACCTTTCTCTCTTTTTTTCTTCCTCTGTCTATATCTATTTTTTATTGGGAAAAAGCATTTGCATAAGTAAAATCTCTGATTTCAAATATCGTATGTGGACTTAGTCCCTGGTGCCTATGAATTTAAGGAGGAGGAAGTATGAGGAGATGTTCCTAATAAATCCTATAGGTACAGGATGCAGCCGGCCAGCAGCTGCTGATGCTCTGCTCAGACTGAACTGATCATATTTACAACCATTTGCAGAAACACACAATGAGAATTGCCTCCCAAGCAGCTGTTTGAGACTGAAGTTTGGGAGCCTTTTGAAGGAGCTGTCAAGGACTGTTAGTGTCAGAGTTTTTGTTATAGATGTAGTGCAAGAAGTTGCATCATCTGATGACAGCTGAGCAGCCCGTCGTGGCCACGGTGTGATGTTTCTGTGGCTGCTGTGCCTTGTCTTAGGCTAAGGGTTGATGTTCTTGCCCTTGCATGGCCGAGCAGAGCCTGGGTGGTCTGTCTGCTCATGAAGAAATTTGTGATGGCATTTAAATAAAATGGTTCTCAGGCAAGTTTGTTGTAGAATCACGTTAAAAGATGATCCTTAAGATTACTCGTTCTGGGAGAATCTAGAGAGATTCTTTTCTGTTTTTAACCTTGGTTGTAATCCCTTTCCTATCACTGTGGTGGTTAAAATGTCTGCAGGAGCTGGGGATGAGGTTGCACACGGATCCCTGAGCGATCAGTTATTCCAGCACTGCCAGAGAGTTCCCAGTCCGGCCTGCCTGCTTGAGCTCGTACAGTGTGTTCAGCTCTTAAGCTCAAGTCATCCAAACACTGATGTTGTAACCCCCTGAGGGCTTGTGCTGTGGCCCCTTTCCCAGGACAGCGGATCAGTCTCTGGGCTGTCCAAGGGAGGGAAGGCTGCATTACCGTGTACAGTTGTTGCCGTGGCAAAGATGGAGCTTTAAAATCAAGCTCAGGAGTAGATTTTCCAGACCGACTTGCAAGCATGCACCCGTTCCATGATAAAAGTCATGGAAGTTGTCTTTTTGGCAGAGAGGCAGTGAAAATAATTGCTGTAATTCAGTGGGGCCCGGGTGCAGCAGTGGCAGCTCCCTCGTGGCGCACGTCAACACAATGTGGCCAAAGTGAGGATCCCGAAAACCACACGAGCGGGAGCGGGGCCAGCTGCATCTCCCTGCCTCAAGAGAGCAGCCCCTAAGCCCTTTTACAGTTACCAGAGCCAGGACCTTTGTTCTGTCTTGCCTCCAACATCACGTTGCCCTTTGGTGCTGGAGGTAACGTAGGGTTATTGGCTTAATAATGACTGCTTGGGAAGAATGCCATCCTCTAAATTAGCACCACAGGCTCCTGAGGCAAGTCCTGCAGCATAGAGCAGGTCTGTTCTCATAAACCGAAGACACGTTGTGCCCATAAACAAAAACTGGAATGGGGTTTGGGTTGCATAGACATTAGAAGTAAATGCATGAACATGCTGTTCTCATAACCAGTTCTGGGGAGCTTGGCTGTTTCAGGTGGCTTTTTAAAATCCTTTTTTAAGGCCTTTTCCCTAACGCTACCCTGCAGTGTCTCTTGAGCGAGCGCTGCTGGCGTGGGGTGGGTGGCTGGTCCCCAGTGGTGCTGCTGGGGCAGAGCTGGGGTGGCAGAGGGGCCGGGGGCCATGTCCTCTGCCAAGGCTCCCCGCTGCTGGTGGCTACTAGATTTGTCTGGCTTCTCCTAAGGCAGCATCTGTGGGAGATGCCACCAGAGCCAGTGTCTGTCCTTACCACCAGAATGGTCGAGAATGCTGTTGAATACACGTGTTGTCAAGTGATACCTGTGAGGGGTGAGGCTAGAATGGGAGGAAGTGCAGGATAAGGGGGGAGGTGGAGGTCCCCCTCCCTGAAATTTCAGTTGTTTTGGAGTGAGGGTATGAAAATTGGTATCGGAGGTTACAGCTGCTCCCGCCTGGGCACTAGCAGTGGCTGCACCGCGGAGCGCTCTACAGGGCCTGCATCGAATCGCCATCTGTGAGCAGGGCCCCGCTGGCCCACCTGCGCCCTGCAGCACAGCCTGCCCAAACCCCGCTCAACCCCGCCAACCTCAGCGGGAGGCTGACCAGGGAGGAGAGCCAGGCTCTCACGCAGCCTCAGCATGTCCCCTCCGGGACGATGCTGCTTGTTTCCCTATCCGCTCCTCTGGAGTGCAAGGGAGATACCTGAACCTGGTGATCTCCAAGCTGTCCTAGCTCTTGTCTGTCATAACAGTTTTATGGAGTTCTGTAGCTGCAAAAATGTGCTATGGATATGGAATGCTGGGCAAGCAGAGGCCCTGGGTATATACCTAGATTCGTGGAGCACAAGACAACTGGAAAACAGAATACCTTTAAGGACTTCAGGTTTTAACCTACAAAAATTGGGGAATGTGCTTTACTGAGTGCAAAAAAGCAATGTGTGCTGTGAATTGATCCCTAGCATTATAGATTTTAATGTAATTGAGACCTGAGAAAATACCAGCATGATTGGCCCCAGGAGAATGGAGTGCTTTCCTAAGCTTTCTTCTACTAAAATCTGGTTAAGTAACTAGGATTTAAAAATGAGTTTGTTAGATCGGTGCAAGTTCCTGCTGTCCTCTGATAGACAGCACTAGTGCGAATGGAGAGTTCACACGTTTCCTACCTGCACAAGTTCCTCAAGTTTTCAAAGCTATTTTTGCTCATGTAATGGCTGAGT